GAAGACCAAAAAATGCTTGATACGGACCTGAATTTCAGGTAGAATGTTTATGATTTTAAAGTCATTTCGAATTTGACGATAGCAAAAAAAAAATATTATTATCAAATTTACGCTATTTATTGTTTTTTCCGTACCATTGTTAAAGATATATATAAAAAAATAAACTGAGTTGTACATTTAGTTTGTGACTTACCAAGCATTGTAAGTCACAATGCTTGGTTTGCAAGTCACAATCCACAAGTCTTCACTTTCGCAAGCGCATTTTCAGTAAAACCACGCAATTTGTTATTATTACGACCAACTTCACCATGATGAAGTATACAAGCATTTTTAATTTCTTTTTGGGAACCAGATTAGCTTGGAATCTTTTCAATAAGCTGCATCAATTTTTGTCTCTAACTTAAGTTATAAGCACTTTCCAAGTGGTACGTAAAAATTTTTAAACGTCTTAAGTTATAAGGAACAAGTCTATGTAAAAATCAGAATGTCCACTCAAAATGTTTAGTTTTTCTTTTTTTTTACATGTAGCGACCAGACTATAAATGATACAATTCCTAAAACATTTCAACAGAATACTCTAGAACTTTATTTCGCTTAGTCAGCGTATTTTTTTAACCAATAGAATTAGTTTGTTCGCAAATTTGGCGGGTTTTTAGTGTTCGCGAATATTCTTTTTATTCTTCCGCAAGATGTTTTAAGAACATTCAAGTTAATTATGTTTCTATGTATGTCTGTAAAATAAAAATTAATATATATCAATTTTTTAATTTTTAAAGCCCCCGCCATAATATATATTGGATGTTATAATGGAAATATAAATAATGAAATAAGATCACCACCAAAAAATACATTTTTGAAAATCAGAGAAAAAATGCGTTAATAATTTTTTTATTATTATTTACAAAGTAAATTAATAAAAGTGCATTATTAATTAGGTTAAAAATTATTTTATCTAATATTTTGAAAGAAAAACTTATAACAAAAGAAATCAAAATACACGTGGTCTAGACGATTATTTAAAAAAAGTTGCGCAAATAAAATACTATTTTGTTTTTTATTTTATTTTTGTTTTTAATTTTATTTTGTTTTTAATTTTATTTTCTTTTAATCTTATTTTGTTTTTAATTTTATTTTGTTTTTACTTTCTTTTTACAAACACATTTTAGAACTTTAAAATATAATAAAAATGAATATGATTTGGAAATTGTGTGTAAAAAATAACATAATGTTTTGAACAAACAAAAAAAAATCTATGACGTCAAGCACAAAAACTCCTATGAATTTAACGCGCTTGAATAAATTATCAAGTCTGTATAATGCGCCTGGAAAATCGCGTTTATTTTACATACTCAAAATACCAGAGAAAACGGAGAAGACGAGCTTTGACTAAAACAACAAGATTTGTTTTTCTTGGTATACATTTATTAATTAGTGTTATTCAAAAAAAATTTGCTCAGACGTTTTTTTTAACATTCTTTTTAATATGAACACAACATGTCTTGGGACTTGATAGTCCTAGTCATAATTTTGATAGCTAATTTATATGATGATTCGCACCAATCAGAAGAGACCCTAATGCCTTCAGGGATTACAAAATAAATCAAGTTACTTTATTATGAGTTTAATCGACGAAATTTATCCTTTACAATATTCATTTAAATATGGCTATACCTGATAATATACTCGTATATCGTCTAGAAACTTCCAGAAACCGGCAGTGATTCCGAGACATTGTTGGTTCTGAATTGAAGTCCATGCACAGAAAAAAAAGCTGGGGTTTGTGTTGTCATCCAATACTTCTCAAAATAATACACAAACTTTTTCATTTTTTTACGAGTTTCAATGTTTGCAAATCGACTCATCTCTGTTTTGAGTAAATCTACTTTTGCTCTGATGAAAACACAAGGCAAGAGGCACATAGCAACGTATTTCTGACCCAACCTCTAAATTGCAGAGTTGTTGATGTAATTAGATTGAAGCTTTGATTTTTCTTAAACAGCTTTGATTTTTCTTAAAGTTGCCTGGCCGTAATAAAACCGGCAACCAGTCAGTCTTATTTCAGGGAAGACAATCTTCAAGGCACTGCCTATTGCTGCTTCATAGTCAGCCTAAAAATTCGTAGTTGAAAGTCACTTGAAAGTTCCTTAATTTTTCTAAATTTAGCAATGTAAATGCCTTCTTTTTTGCCAGTCATAAGTACATGAAACACAGGAAGGACATTGTCACAATGCATAATGGAGATATTTAGTAGTTGACCTCCTTCAAAGATGTTAGGAACAACGCGAAATGTTGCATCAATGAAAATAATTGTAGATCCTGAAAGAAATGAATAAATTTGTAAGAGTATTGAAAAATTTAACAAAAACAGAATATTATGAGCAAGCTAAGGTTAAAAGATGTTAAATAAATTTCTAAAAAAATGTTCACAAAAAGTCATCAATTTTGAGCTAAATTACTCTGCTACCTGAGATTATTTGTAGTAGTGCTGATGAACATAATAGTATGGCCAATTGGTCTTCAAATCTGACGATTCCTTTCAGAATGTTGGTAAATGGATTTGGCTTAGATATTGCCAATACTGCTTCTTCTACGCTGTTGGGATTTGCACTGTACTGAGTTTTTCTTGCACGACGAAGTATCTGTTCACATTTTAAGTAGGATAAACAATTTTTTACATTTTCAGGACAGTCTCAAATGATTTCCATTTAAATCTGGCGTAATGGAATTTGTGTAGTTGCAGCTTTGAGTCTCATTCTTTCCATCGCTTCCAAATGGCTAAAATCTTCTGTTTTGGAATCACATTACGTAAATCACTTCCTTCGCGTATTTTTGCAGTTCCAACACACAGTTGATAGTTTTTGCTCTTTAAATAAATGTAACCGCTGTGACTCTTGTTTTTTACATAGCAATTATTCCCAGCTATGTAGAGGAATGAATTTCTCCTTTCGCCTTTAACTTTTTGATACTCCATTCTGTTGTTATTATTCCACCAACTACGAGATGTTTTTGAAAACAAATAATGTTATTTTTTAATTTATTATGAAGACTGTATTCAAAACTGTAAGCGCATTAAATTTATATTACAAAAGCATTAAACTAAAAATATTTATAAACGCTAAAAAAATTAGGTACTACAACTTTCGGTTGTAAACCATTTTAATGAAATTCGGTTCTAAAATGACTTTTGATCGAAAATTTGATCGAAATTTTTTTCGGTTCTAAAATCATTAATGACTTTCGATCAAAGTTTTTTCGGTTGTTTATACCTAGATACGGTTCTAAAATCATTTATGACTTTCGATCGAAAACTCGATCGAAATTTTTTCGGTTCTAAAATCATTTATGACTTTCAATCGAAAATTCGATTGAAATTTTTTCGGTTCTAATTTTTTCGTGAATATTTTCGGTTGTGTATTAAGTTTCTCATATTCGGTTCTAAACTGAAATTAGGGATTCGGTTGAATCATAGGACGCCATGGAAAGTAATTTTGTAATGTATTCTTGATGTCACAATTTTTTTAGCTAAAAAGTAGTTTAGCTTTTAGGAGTAAGAATATTGTCTTTATTTTAATTTATATTTTGCATTATTTTATCTATAATTTAAAAATCAAAATAAAAGTTATATTTGGATACAAATATTAATTACTTTTTTGATAATTTTTTGTTTGCAAATAGAATCCAATCAAAAATTGTTTAAAAATAGAAAAGGAAATTTATTGGAGCATATTGTTAAGCAACACTACGACAATGGCGCTAATATCGCTAATAATTACAATGGAGTTCAAACTTTGATTAGGTAGAATAATCCACAATCAATTTTCATTCCTTGCTCTGCTAACAGTTTGAACTTATGTGTAGTACACGCAATTTTTAGTTGCAGCCCATTTCGTTGGAAAGTTCTTCAGAAGGAGACAGACCAATCATTACATAAACTTTCTGCTAAACAATGGTTAAAAGCTCAAGGATTGAAGCAGTCAAGCTACTAGCAAAAAAGCTAGCAGAAAGATCTTGAAATCATTACATCGCCCAAAAGAGTTAGACCTTCCGAGCGAAAGTAGTAATGAAGTGATTTATCTAATTTAATGGATGAATTTTTTTGAATATTTTGTTTTCACTAATTCTAGGTATAAACAACGTTAGTCTTTTGCTTGGGGGTGGGGACATCTAACCTTCCTCGCCAGTCCGACCGATGTGCTAGGCATAGAGAAAATACCTTTGCGCTCTGATTTCTAAAAAGAAGATCAAACTTTATAATATCAAATATTTGTGTTAAAACACTGTCTAGCATTTTTTTAAAGCATTGCAGCCGGTATTACATGTCTTAATCCACTTAGTGGGTACGGTACGTTTTTGAAACGTATTTGGACCTTTTTATTGGGTTTAAATTTTATAAAAACGTCCAAAGAACTTTTAAAAAATGTACTATGCCCACTGGGCACGCACAAAAAAGTTATTAACAGTCATAATGAAAGAAATGCAAAAAATCTGACAATAGGGATGTTTTATTGAGAAGCTTTAGAGTGCAGGAACAAGAAACTTGAATAATTCTTTTGTTAAGTTGTCTCAATAAAGACCACAAACATAAACTATTTTGACAAGGTTTTTAAAATCCAAGCTTAGTACCACTAAGAAGCGTTTTGTTTTGAGAAGTTTGATGAAAAAAAAAAAGATCAAAGTTTTTGCAGTTTAATGATAAAAACAGTTAAAAACTTCCACAAAGTTATCTTCTTTTAACTGTTTGATTTACAAAAATATAAAAGTAATAGTTTATTTTTTATATAGCTTATTTATTTATATCGTTTCAATAAAGAATAACTTCTAAAATTTTTTATATTGTTATAAAAATTAATGCTAAATGTTAATTAAATGATCATATTAATTTTGTATATGTTAAATAAATACGCGACAATAAACTTTTGAGATATACACTATATGTTTAATAAATAATGTAATTATTGAAACGGAGAATAAAAAATATTCTGCGTATAAATAAAATTTACCTTTAAAAAAGTCATATTCATGACAACGTTCTTGATTTGATTCCATTTAATTTTGAAATGAAATGGTGCTAAAAAAAATACATACTTGTTGTTACTGTTACTGCTACTGCTACTACTACTACTACTACTACTACTACTACTACTACTACTACTACTACTACTACTACTACTACTACTACTACTACTACTACTACTACTACTACTACTACTACTACTACTACTACTACTACTACTACTACTACTACTACTACTACTACTACTACTACTACTACTACTACTACTACTACTACTACTACTACTACTACTACTACTACTACTACTACTACTACTACTACTACTACTACTACTACTACTACTACTACTACTATTACTATTACTACTACTACTAAAACTATTAAGTTCGGCAATAATATATAGAGATATATTTTTTTATTTATTGCAAATATATTTTTAATATTTATAATATATATTTTTGAAAGATTTCTCTATTTTAAAATAACATTTTTTGTCGTAACTTGGAAAAAACTTTTATTGTTTTGGTAACTTTAAACAAGTTTTGATTTTTTTGAATACTACACTGTGGATTGCAAACTAAGTTGCTCGAACTGCACGCAAGTTAGCATTAAAAAAAAGGTAATTTAGCCATGCCTAATCCTAAATTAGGAAAAGCTCTTCCTGATGCAACAGTTCAACTGGTCAGTCTTTTTACGAAGATGATGAACATAGCCGTACAATGACTGGTTAAAAAGACCATGTAAGGATAAAAAAAATGCCAACATGCAGAAACGTTTTCTTTAATGTAACTTAAAGGAATTGTTTGTTGGCTTTAAAATTAAGAATGAAAATAATGTTTTTAAGGTTTTGTACATTGCGACCAAATTGGTGTATTACTGCTGGTGCTTCAGGAACGCATTCTGTATGCGTTTGTTTCATCATAATTTAATATTGATTTTACTTTATCTTAATGTGACAAAGAATTGTTACCTAGGATCTAGGATGTTATGACTGATAAAGACTGTATGATGCGGAAATGTAAAAGATGCCTATCAACTATAAATGCATTGGCTAAAAAACTTTATAATTACTACGTATTGGTTAAAAAACATTTTAACTTAATTGGAGAATTTAAAGAGGACAATCAAGTAGAATTTGATCAGTGGACAAAAACAGATAGATCAAACTTAACACATAATAAAGAGCCAGTGCTTGAATAGATTGAATTAGTATGTAAAAAACTGACAAAACTTGCACCACACTTGTATTCAGCTAAGAGTCAAGCAACATACTTGAGATCAAAAAAGGAAGATACACCAATTTCTGGGTGATTTTTCAGAAAACTATAAATTTTTAGTTCGGTACGAAATTTAAAGCTTTCATTAGGTAAATTTACAATTTGCACTTTATCATGTGATTATTTATTTTAAAAAGGAAGGTGGTCTCTAGCACAAATTTTATTGTATTGTTTCAGATGATACGATATATGGTGTGAACATGGTGTATAAAATTATTGTCAGCAATGATTTGAAAAAACCTACCTCAAATAAAAATTATTAAATATTTTTCAGATGGGTGTGTAGGTCAATATAAGAATGGCAAAAAAATTTTAAATCTTTGTTTCCATCTTGAAGATTTTGATCATACTTCTAAATGGAACTTTTTTGCAACTAGTCATGGAAACAGTACCGTGGCTACTAGGTTCGAGGCCTAACCAAAGCCTGTCATAAGGCCCCAAAATCTTAAAAACTCTACCATTATGTATTATAAAAGAAAGAAAAAAACAAAAGATACTTACATTTGCTAAAGGGCACCTAAATTTACAAATGGGCCTTCTAAATTGGCTGAGTCCCCCAATTAGATTGCGAGTCAAACTAGCCACAACTCTGCACGGTAAGCAACCTTGTGATTAGATAAGTGGTAATATATATGTGTTTCTTATAAGCAAAAGTAGTGCATAGTAGTCAATAAAGACATTAAACTAGAAGAAAAGGATATGCTTGTCAAACTCATGTGTCCAAATGGTCGCTTAAATGCAGAGTTTTAAATGGCTACTAGTGGATCGCCATTTCTTGATTCAAGATGTTCACAACATCTGCAAAGTTAAAGTTCCAACTTCAGGACTTTGCTACTATTTAATCAATGTACACTTAAAAAAATTGTTTTCCTCAAGGAAGATTTTTATATCTAAATTAATATATAATTTCAAGTTTGCTGATATGTCTTATCCATACTTTTTTTAATATTGTGTTTTTGTACAATTTATAAATAATGTTTTAAAAATTGAACTTTATTGGGCAGAAATTATTCAGTAGCTAGGTTAATGTTATTATTAATTCATTTTTAGTTAGCTTATAGTTGTGAAATAATTAAATATTTTTATGGTTGTTTAAAAGTGTTTGTTTATGTGATAATGGCATTATTTATACATTAAAAAAATAAAATTTGATATAAAAACATAAATACCAAAATGAAATATATTACAATAGGTGTGTGTAAGCATATATAAAACAAATAAAATATATGCTTGTACAATATAATAAATAAATTATTATATTAGGCATATATAAAATAAATAAAATTGAGTATTTTTTTTTTAAAAGTTTTTTTATACGTTTTAATTTTGTTGTAAATAACAAATGGAAACAAAAAAATAAAGTCACTAAATTGGTAATATCTAATTTGATTGATTGGTAAAAAGTTGGGATAGATTCAGGGCCGCAATTGAGTTACGGCACCCTCTCCTTACAGTAATAGTTGCTTTTGGTGCTGCCAAAAATACTTTACTACTTACACCACTTTCCAATCTACCATAATACCATACACCATTACATCTACCATAACAACAAATATATATAAATTTGATTCAATAAATTTAATAAGTAGCTCAAACAGTGTAATTCCAAATGAAAACTTAAATTATTGATAATTAGGCAAACTTATCACGGAATTCTTATAACTTATAACGAGATTTTGCTACGGAGACTGTTTAATAATTTTTCCTAGGTTTGGTTTTTTGCCTCCATGTTTTCAATGGAGACTATCGCGACGTCAATCTTTTTTTGCGTCATCGATGTACGTAGTTAGGTTTTATTTAACTTCAACTTGCTGAAACTACATTCACTGTTGGCCACTGTAACCAGAATTATCAGCAATATGCGTAGTGTTATCCAAAGATTACTAAAAAGGTCTTTTCTGTTGGTGTTTTTGATAATATTGAGTGCTTCTAATGGTGATGGTGCTTTGCAGGCTGCCTTCTGCTTCTGCTCACACCATTTTTCAAAAAAAGTAGCTATCAAACTGACGTGTAGATTTTTAATTGTACAATTCTTCCCCATTTTTATCTGAAATTTTTTTTACACTCAGATGTTTTTGTAACATTTTTTAATCCTCTTTCAGTTTATCATTTGGTGGTAGTTTTTCAGTTCAAATAGAAATCCTCACTTTGACTTGTATTTAGAAAACATTTCCATTTTTTCTTTTAAAAATGATTTAATTGTGTTAATTCGGGGCAAGAAAACATCATCTTTGAAAAATTCTTCTGTGCTAGGGAAGTGACCATCGCTTGATTAATCCGAAAAAATATTGTATATGTTCTTTGAGTAACTCCAAAAAGTAATATAGACTTCACCAACAATTTAGCTCCGTCTGATATAACTACGTTCAAGCTGTGGTGACCACAGGGTGTAAATACGGTTTGTGTGTATTCTGTTGAATATCGAGCTTGAACACCTTTTCGAATTGCAACATATTAGACCAGTTGTCATAGCTTTGAACTCTACAATTTTTTAGATCTAGACTACAAGACTTTATTTTAACAATTAGAAGATTAGAATGAGCTTCACAAGTCAACTCTTTGCACAATGCATATCCAATTAAGCTTTTTTGGACAATGACTTTGCTTCTTTTCCTTATGAACTTTGCGGATTGTCAGAGAAGTTTGGCCTCTTTCTCAATCTCAGTTCGCATTAAATGCTCCATCAAAATTGGATAAAAATTAATTAAGTAATTGGATAAAACTAAGTATTTTTTGTGTACAGTTTTGATTAGCTTACACGGAATCCAATATTATGTCCGCCAAGTATATAATGACTATTTTCTATAAATGCTTCTCCGCCTTTCTGCTTCATTGTTAATTTGTTGGATAACACCTTGATTAACAGCTTGTTCATTTTCTATCTTTATTGTTGCTTCGAACTATTTCTCAGAATAACTGAAATGAGATGGACATGTCTAATACATTTAGGCTTGCTCTGTGAACTTTTTTCAGCTGGTGGAACTTTTTTTTTAAATATTATTTTGGAGTTAAGTCAAACTGATAAAAAGGAAGACAATAAACTGAATCAGTTTCTGAAAGTATAAAAGCCATCTCCTCTTCGCTTGTTCATCATTTCTCGCAAATCTGTATCCAAATTCATTAGAAAAATGGAGTTTTTTGATTTTAGGATTTTATTTATTGCTCTTCAAGAAAGGTATTGGATTTATTTTGATGATGCAGTCTCTCTTTTACAGCAAGCCGTTCCGGCCAAGTGCATGGATTATCAAATAAGAATCTAATGGCTAGCCGTAGTGCAGTGGTTAGGTCATCAAATAAGAATCTAAGAACAGACGTAGAGCAGTGCTTAGCGCGCTTACCTCAAAAGCTATAGATCCGTAGATCAATGCTCCTTTGGGCAGGCCCGTACCAAAGGGCGGGGCCAGCCGGCCCCGCCCTTGGTACGAGCGGGCTCCAAAAAAAATTGAAAATAAATTAAAAAAAGAAATAAAAAAAAACAAAATTAATATCACCTGGAAACAAATTTTTATGGCATCTTTTTGAAGTTGATAAAAAAAATTAATTAAAATTGCGCCTCTTTAGATTAACTCCAACTTATAAGAGTTCATTTACTGAACAAATCTGTTTAGTAAATGAGTTTTTATAAGTTAAAGATTATTTAAGTTTATGTTTTATAAGTTGGAGATTATGTTAAAGGGTGCTCTTCTTCAGGAACATGGCCTAAACTAACGGACAACATTAAATGCTTTTTGATTCAACATGGGTCAGAGCTAGAAAGAAGATAATTTTTCCCATACACGCTGTGTGATTTTGAAAACAGAAAGCGACACTTCAGCACAAAATGGTATGAGAAAATCATCCCAATGGTGCTTGGACAGAAAGTCAAAAATGAAATAATGTCAAACATCATTGAAGCTACTACTCTGTTTTGTTTGACTGTACTCCTGATTCCTTCCATAAAGAACAGGTGACCCAAATAATTGGTATGTCCATTTCAATGATGAAACCTGTACAACTGAGGAGAGCTTTGTTGACTTCATTAGATGTCACCAAAAATAGCGGAAAAAGTCTTGCAACAGAGATCATTGAAAAATTAGAGAAAGACGGTCTAAAGATTTCTGATTGCCGCAGCTAAAGTTATGATATTGGAGCCAATATCTGAAAAATACAATGGCGTCCAGCTCAAGTTCAATATTGATTTATTATCGACAATCCTATGACAAAATGATACAAGTTTTAAATATCAAGCTGCTGCAATGATGGACAACTTCCAAAAATTTTGTTCTTTTGACATTTTGCAGCTTATTTATAACTATTTATTGACTGATTCTTATCTAACACGGCAATTGCTATTTGCATCTTTCTCACCCTACCAGTCACAGTTGCTACGTGTGAAAGAAGTTTCAGTAAACTTAAGCTTTTAAAAAACTACATGAGATCAAATATGGGCCAAGAACGTTTATCTAGTCTGGCTATAGTTTTAATTGAACATAAAGTGGTCGACAACCTTGATTTTGATGATATTATTAGTGAATTTGCATCCAAAAAAGCTAGAAAAGTGAACTTGAACTGAAGTTTGTGCAGTATTCACGATAAATTGTAGTTTACACTTGATATGATTAATTTTGTGATCAATAAATCGTTTTTTAATTTTAATTTTTTTTTTTGGAAGGGGGAGGGGCGCAATTTTCCTTTCTAGCCCGAAGCGTAAAATTGGCTCGGTACGGCCCTGCCTTTATGCTAGTTTTATAAAACCAATGAGAATGAAAGCGTGAACATTCTATTAGATATGCTTAAAGGGTGCTCTGTGATAAAACCGTAAGGAATTCTTGGGCCACCTAAAATTAAAAACTAAAACTGAAAATAAAAAAATTGCAAGTTTTGCACTTCTGTGCAAAAAGTCTGTTGTAATACTATAATCCTTTTCAACTACATAGATTTTAAATTACTTTAATTACTTTAAAAACTTTAAAGTTTTTTATTTGTTATTAATGCTTCCTGAGTTTTTTGGTTACAAATGTCCAAGGATAAATTTGATGAACATGTGATAATACTAGCTGAAGAATGAGAGCTACACAACATAGGGTTACTCACATCATCTTTCTCTTAGTTTCATTGAGACAGAGTGGAGGTCTCATTAGATTTCTTTGAGAAATTTTTATCACAAAAAATATTTGACGGAAAAAGAAAAGAACGGGTTAGCTTCGTAACTTTACTTAAAACAGTTTCATGGAGTGCTTCATGGGGTGTTTCATGGCTTTTATGGGGTGTTTCATGCCTTCAGAGTCTAGTTTTTTTATTTTAGCACCTGACAGTTTTTTGAACATCTTCAATAAAATAATATTCAGTTTGAAATTAACAGTGTAAAACTTTATTTTTGTTTCTGGAAACATAATTTCTCCCTAATTTGTGTTTTTTAATTAACCATTAAGATCACTACTGATTACAGTTTACAACTCTTTTTATTACAACAGTTTTATACAAAACTACTTTCTTGTCGGTTTATTTATTTTATTATTTGTGCAAAACAAACATGAATTCAGCGTTAACAATGTTTAAAAAAGTAATAAACAAACAACCCAAAAAAAAACTTTACTTAAGCATTAATAAAAGAAATCGTTAAAAAAACTTCGCAAAACAATCTTTAGTTTAGTGTAAATAAAAAAAAACTTTTTAAAAACAATTTTTCATATATTTAAAGACATTTTTAATAAGTTTTTTAAACATTTTTGAAATGGACTAAAAAAAATAAAAAAATTAACTTTTTCTCGGGACCTAAGGACTTTGTGAACGCACACAACCTGAAATATCTATTAAAGTCGATGACTGAAAATTTTGGGCGCCCATGATTTTAAATGATAAAGATGTTTTATGAAGTTATGAAGACCGCAAAAGAAAACAAAATTTTCCACGGCGCCTGGTGTAACTTGCTGGTTTCCCCCTCACCTTAGGGGCGGCCCTTAATAGATCGACAGTCAATTTTTAAAATCATCACACAATTTTGTGTCCATATCAAATTTCAATAACTCCTCAAGTAAACGTTTTTTACAAAGTTGGATCGCATTTTATCTATAAGAAAATTAAAAAAAAATTTTCTTGAATGAAATTATTTTATATAGCTATAACTGTCAATGGCCATTTTTTATTGTCATTATTAAGTGCATTTTATTGAATCTAAAAATAAACTACATTGCCTTGTTTCGAGAGATACAAAATCAAATTTTTCGGATTTAACAGGTTTAAAACTCTTTTGGTACCAAGTTTCAGCATCGCATCGCTACTAAAAGACACCTCATAAGGGTAATTGTAAACGGAAACATTTTTTTGCACTCCCCCCTCCTCGTTTTTTCAGTAAAAATCAAACAAAGTTTAAGTTGCTGTTAATCCTAAACGGATAAGAATAATATAAAAACAACTTTTAGGCTTTTTCTAAGTTGTGTCTCTAAACATTTGAAATATTATATTAGAGTTATATTATATTTGAAATGTTATATTATATTATATTTGAATTATATTAGAGTGTAGTTTTATAACTTTTTGTATTACTAAAATAATTAGATGCTATAAACAGAATTTGGTGTTTACAAACCAACTAAATTATCTCTGAATTAAAAAAAAAATTAGCTATACTCTTTTTCATAAAATAAGGCATGCATTAATCTTTCATTAAAGATGTCAAAACAGGGCATTTCGAGAAATTTTATTTGAATTTATCCTATCGCTTAAAGTCTTGATTAAACGAGGTTTTTATTTTTTTGAAGTATTTATTTATATTCTTTATTGATATTTTTATTCATATGAAAACTTATTTCGCTTTACCGAGTTTAAGGTGATTGGTTTTTTATCCACATAAACAATAAAAGACAATCATGCTAACAAAACTAAAAATGATATACGCATCAAATTTGAAAACAAAATTTAATTATTCTAAAAATTGAAATTAAATTCAAAGTATTTAATATCTGAAAGTTACCTATATTGAACCGAGCAAGATGAGAAAGTTTTTCTTCTTCACAAGTAAAAAGGTGTAGAAAAATATATTTGTAAAACTTTCTTTCAACACTCAAACTTATTCACAGCGTACGTTTTTAACTTTAATTAAAATGAAAGATATCAAGTATTAAGTATATTCGAACAAAGCTTTATTTACTTAGCTGTTTATGTTTGATGGATATAACAAAATAAGTTTGACTTTTCATAAAACAAGGGTGATTATTTATTGCATAAAAAGTGAGAAAACTTTAATAAAAAACATTACGAAATATAATGTTTCAATAAGCGAATTTATAGTCTCAGTTCCGTTCCGCAAATTATCTCAAAATTGTTTAGAAAAGTAAACATATCTAGAATTTGAGATGATTTGAGAAAAATTTGAGAAGCAGAATATATTATATAGTTATTACTTTGATATAAAATCTTTGATCTAAAATTTTAACGCTATCTTTCCTAGCCAAATTTATCACTAACTTCAGTTCGAAATATCTTACTAAACGGTTTTGTGATAATTTACGGAACGATAATCATAAAAGTTATACTTTTATGATTTAAAAATTATTGACTGCCTTATATCTTTAACATATAAGATTATTTAACTGAAGTTATATAGAAATTATTTAACTGCCTTATATCTTTAACATATAAGATTATTTAACTGAAGTTATATAGAAATTATTTAACTGCCTTATATCTTTAACATATAAGATTATTTAACTGAAGTTATATAGAAATTATTTAACTGCCTTATATCTTTAACATATAAGATTATTTAACTGAAGTTATATAGAAATTATTTAACTGCCTTATATCTTTAACATATAAGATTATTTAACTGAAGTTATATAGAAATTATTTAACTGCCTTATATCTTTAACATATAAGATTATTTAACTGAAGTTATATAGAAATTATTTAACTGCCTTATATCTTTAACATATAAGGCAGTTGCATAACATTTCTTCAGATGTTTATGAAAACTTTTGCTATAATAACATTTCTTCAGATGTTTATGAAAACTTTTGCTGTAATAACATTTCTTCAGATGTTTATGAAAACTTTTGCTATAAAAATATTTAAACCCTCTCATTAAGATTTATTTAAAAATTTAAACATTGAAAAATGGGCCGAAGAAAATGGGCCGAAGAGACCTTTATTTCAAATAAGTTTGCTTTATCTGTTTGATATTTTTTATAAAAGCTTTTCTGTAAAAAATCTCTTAACAAGTTCTTTCAATTAAGCTGTTTAAGCCTATTTAATATTGCGTAAAATTTTGAAGGCCATTATTATATTGGGCAAATGCATTCAGTGGATTATAGTCGAATAAAAGGAAATTTGCAGTTTTTAAAGTTTTGATTAAAGTTGGAATTAAAAATGATTAGTAGAGATGATGTAATGAGCTTACAACCAATATTAATTTGTATTGGTCAAAGAGGATTGTATTACGGCTATAATAAAAGCCACAAATTAAAAAGCATATTTAAAAACAAATTTGCATTTAGAAATTTAAACGAAAACATCGTTATATATTTTAATCTTTTATATTTTAAAATTAAACATTCATAAACCTTTAAATAATAACAATTTGTTTGTTAGTTGTCTTAATCCAGTTGATGACTTTAATAATCACTTGATGACTTCCTTAATATTGAAGCGGTATAATTTTGGGCATATCTGAACATTAAAATTTTAAAGTATTATTTACTTATCTTTTTATCAAGCTGACTAGAGCCTAATTCTTGATTAACAGTCCAATATTCTATGTCATGGCTATCAAGTTTTTTAAACACTTTTTTTTATTATGATTGATTTATTAATATAATAAATCATTTTCTGCTTTATATTTTGGTTAGAGGTGATTTTTGGCTTTTTAAAATCTTTAACACTAATAAAGAAGTAAAATAATTTTTCAAATGACTCAACAACAGAAATAACATTGCTTGATGGCAAAAACAAACCACCAAGATTTTTCACATTATTTAACGAAGGATAAGATTTCACATAGGAATGTTTGTATCATAAAATATCAGTTAATGATTGGGCTCAAACATTACAAGAAATCGTGTTTGCCAACTTTCTGACTATTAAACCAGAGATATATCCCAGATATATTGCTTCTTTGTAGCTAGTCATTTGAAGTTCATCAAAGTACAAAGAAACTTCTTTTAAGTCAATATCGTTCTGATCAAAATTATCAACAGCCTACGACCTTTTAATTGGAATTAAGAGAAAAAATAGAACCATTGGAATAGGTTTCAAACATTAGGCAGTTTGCATGATTTGATCCAACTATGGAATTTTTTAGCAGGATTTGTTTTAAAGATGACTTTAACTGTAATACGTTTATTGTAATCATTTTTGTCACAAACGCAAGATGATAGCAGTTCAAGATGATGTTAGAAACTTTTAAAAAACCATTTAAGTATGTTTTAACTTGAAAGTTAAAACATACTTAAATGGTTTTTCTGGAACTTTTCAGTGCTTTTAGCTGCTATAATTAAACCTAAAACGAATATATTTCTTCAATGTAAAAGTAAAGGAATAATAATAAATGCAATTTTTATCAGTCAACTTGCTCAGATAAATATTTGTATCAATTAAAAAATCTTTCCAATAAAGTTGATCATGATGATATAAAGATTTTTTTAAAGTTTTTACTATTTGTATTTCTTAAATTGAGCATGTCAAATAATTTGTCAATAATTCAATTAAAACGGGTTGTACCATTTGCCCCAAAAACTTATGGATGTTGAGATATCAAGAAAATTCAATAGCAACAGAGCTGCTAAGAGTTTGGCCAACTATTTTCAGATTAATTATGTGTCGATGAAATTCTATATGTTTTCTTGAAAGTTTGTTTACAAATTTCAAACCTTCAAATTCTTGTAATTCAAACAAAACTTTAATATTACTCTTGGTATCTCAACATCCATCTAGTACATTGTCCATCACCATCAATAAAAACAGCAAAATCATTAAGAGAATTTCATGCTAATTTAAGCATATGGATCAAGGAAAATATGTATCAGTTGGTTGTTATTTGAAAAAGTACAGACTATATTGTCAAGGTCTTTGTCAAACTGATATCCTAAGGGGATGACAGAATTCAAATTGGTACTTGTACCATCAAATGTAATACTTTTGATATAAAGTCAAAGTTTTGATATATGTCAAAGCCAAATTCAAAATGTTTTCGATAAAACATGTTAAACCACTTGCTTTAACTTTATTCGATAAAACATAACCAATAAGTGTTTTCCAATGATCTCGCAAACCAACTAACATAGAAACTAATGCCTAAATAGCTGGAGTATTGGTTTTGCATACAATAATATCCTTGCCGAAATCACAAAAACCAATATAGTGCTTTGAACTTTTGTCATAAGTTATACTGTTTTTGATTGCCATAGCATCAATAATAAGAGCACAATATTTAAAGTTTATACCTGTTTTCAGTTTACCACCAAGACAAAAACATCATGGAATAAACCAGGGTCGCAATTTACAGATAATGCCCAATGTTATATTGAACTGGCAGCAGGACGACACAACATTGGTTGAAGAAAGTTATGTGTATGTGGAGAATAAAAGTGAAGAATTAAGTAAATTTTTTTACTTCATCATTTGTGACCTGCTGACATTTTTATCTGTGACCTATTGGTTTGAAATTTTGATTGAGAAATTGATTTTATATGTGACCTATTGGTTTGACATTTTGATTGAGAAATTGATTTTTAATGATTTCATAAGAGAGTCCAGAAAAATTTTCGCCTAAAACAGTTGCAGCATCTGTAGTTTAATAATTTTTAGATTGTAAATGGGAAACCTTGTCTTTTAAAGAACTAATTTTTTTTCTTTTTTTTTTTTTTTTTTTTATTTGCATTCACTCCCAACAAAGCTGCAAGCAACCACTATTAAGTTGGGAGTTACTCGGAAAAAAAAAGAACAGAGTTATAGAGCAAGGAAACGGTTGACAGAAGACTTGAAAAGTTGAAGGTTGTATGAGTCAGGAAAACATGAAGATGGGAGAGAGTTCCAAAGGATTGAAGTGCGGGGAAAAAAACTAGATGAATAAAAGTTTTTAGAGCATGCAGGGACAGATACAGTAAACGAATGAGACTTAGCTGAATGACGAGTAAAACGAGAATGAATTTTAGTTGATAGAACTAGAGATGATAACTCCTTTGAGCAGTGACCATGATAGTATCTGTAGAAAAGAGAAAGAGATGCAACTTTACGACGATGGGAAAGAGGTTCAAGCTTAGCAGATAGTCCAGGTCCAACAACATTTACAATGCGTTTTTGGACCTTGCCAAGAAGAGAAAGTGAATTGTTAGAAGAAACAGCCCAAATATGACAACAGTATTCCATACAGGGACGAATAAGAGATTTGTAGAGGTAGAGAATGGAATCAGAAGTAAGGAAATGGCGAGCACGATAAAGAGAAGCAACCTTAGCAGAAGCTAATTTAGCAATCGATTGTATATATGGTTTCCATGAAAGGTCAGTAGTAAGCGATAATCCAAGAAGACGTAAAGAGGAGGACTCAGTAAGAGAATTGCCATTCATTAATATAGGAATGTTGACCATATTACGGTAGTTGTTTGCAGTAAGCAACTGGGTTTTTTTAGAGTTGAAATTCACAAGCCACTGTGAACCCCAATCTATTACTGAAGGGAGATCAGTTTCAAGATCAGCTGCTTGTTCTAGGCGATCGAAAAGAGAGGACTTTTTGTCAAGACAGGAGTATAAAGTTGAGTCATCAGCAAAAAGAGCTACTTTAGATGAAAGGTTGTCAGGAAGATCGTTTATGTAGATAAGAAACAAAACAGGGCCCAAGATGGAACCTTGGGGAACCCCAGAAGTTACTGGAAATAAAGAAGAGTGTTGGCCTTAAGGATGACTTTAATAAACCGGTTAGAAAGAAATGATTTGATAATCTCAAAAACTTTCTTAGAAACACCATATGAAGCAAGCTTATGGAGAAGACCAGCATGCCAAACTTTGTCGAAAGCTTTAGATATGTCGAGAGCAATAGCCCTAGCTTCACCGCCTCCATCTAATGCACGATAAAATCTTTCAGTTCCAGCAGTTAGCAAGTCGGCCG